CTACTTCCATAGTGATACCACCTCAGAAACCCAAGGAGGGGTTGCTATGAGTTGGATCTGACTTGATGGCAATGAGTTTTGTTTTGTTTTTTCCTTTGGAACCCAACCCATGGTACTTTCATTCGTTTCATATGCATGGGAGAGCTGGACAATAAATAAGGAAGACTGAAGAAGAGTCAATGCTTTTGAGTTGTGATGTGTTGGTGAAGAATGCTGAAAAGTACCACGGACTGCCAGGAGAACTAAAGAACTAACTCTTTCCTGGAAGAAGTGCAGCCGGAATGCTCCTTGGAAGCAGGAATGGCCAGACTTCGTCTCACCTACTTTGGTCATGTTGTCAGAGGGGACCATTCCCTGGAGAAGGATGTCATGAGTGGTGAGGTGGAGGGCTAGAGTAAAAGGGGAAGGCCCTCAATGAGGTGGATTGACACGGCGGCTGCAACACTGGGCTCAGATATGGCAGGGACTGTGAGGCTGGCCCAGGATCAGGCAGGGTTCCAGTCTGTTGTACACGGGGCTGCTATGAGTGGAAGTTAACTCGACAGCATCTAACAACAACAACGACAACATTGGTTTTAAGAAAATTTAAAGGGAAAATTTTGGTTTAAGGTTTAAAGATGCTCTCAGGGCAGCACTTTAGGGGTTCATTCTGTCTCCATGGGTCCAGGAAGTCTGGAGTTCATGACCATTTGAAATTCAGTTGTGCATTTTGGGGCAGGGACGTTCATCTGTTTGGGTGACTGAGTGTGGAGTAGTGACGGGGAAGTGGGACCTGTGGTAGTGTCGCCGATAGCAGCACCGGAAGCTGTGTCCCTTCAGGAGGGACAGTGACCCCACAGGCAGCATCACACCAAGGGCGAGCCCGCCAGGCACAGGGCAGTCAGGTCTCCTCTCTCCAACCTTTATGCCCACTCTGACTCCAGCCTCCCGCCCACGGCGCTCCCTAGTTCCCTGCCGGGTTCCATAATTCGTTGCAATGGCCACCCAGACTCACAGTTATGAGATTTATTCACGAGCAGCACACAACACAGGACCGGGGTCAGGAAGCATGCAGGCGGCCTCCCTTCTGTGCACAGCAGCCCGTCAGCTGCTCTCAGCCCCGAGGACAGGCTCCTCTCGGCCCTGCTGTCTGTCACCACCCAGTCTGTTGCAAGGCCCCTTCTGGGCCTCTCACTGTCCTGAGTCACAGCCCTTGACCCTTGCCACAGCTCTTCTAGACCCCCCCCCCCATCTTATCCTCATCTTTCTTCCTGGTGCTGTTTTTCTGATCCCGTCCTGTCTGTCAGAACCTCCTGGCCCCTCCTGGTGTGGCCACACACGGACCAATTCCCTCTCAGTAGGCCACTGTCACTTCATTTGCATAGTAGGCTGTAGTAACTCTATTTGCATAGTTTATAGTCACTTCATTTGCATATCCTATTGACACCAGTCTCTGAAAAAGAAAAAAAAAAAGCAACTCACTGCAGTAGAGTCAGATCCGACTCACAGCGACCCCTCCTTGGGTTTCCGAGGCAGTATCACTACAGAAGTAGATCGCCCAATCTTCCTTCTATGGAGTGGCTGGTGGGTTTGAACTGCCAGCCTTCTGGTTAGCAGTCAAGTGCCTTAGGCACTAGGCCACCAGAGCAAGGTGCATACCAATCACAGGACAGGCTGCAGCCCAGGGCCAGACAACAGGGATCAAACCACAAGCTGTTTACGAGGTCCCTAGGAATGTCGATCAACCTGGACGAGGTAACACACCCTCTGGGAGAGAAAACTAGGGCCGAGGTAACCCCTCAGGGTGTGTGGGGGAAATCTCTCAAGCTGTTTTCCCAAAGAACTGAGGCAAAAGGTGGCCTAAAGGAGCTCATCTTGCCACAGCACGGTACCTCCCGCTCCTGGAACATGGCCTGGCATACACTAAGTGCCTGGTATTCGTTGAAGGCAGGGTGGGTGCCCTGGGCTCACTGCTCCCCGCCCCCACTGCAAGCTCTCTCCCAGCAGCACTGGGCTGTCACCCGGCACCCCTCCCTCTGTGTTTGAGCTCAAGAGGCTGAAGGGCTGGGAACTGTCCTGAGTGTCAGTGGCACCACCGGACAGCCCCCTGGTGGAGAATCCATACCTGAGCTCAGTGGGAGCCATGCTGGCCTGCTGAGGGGCAGAGGGATGACGCAGCACAGGAGCCAAGGACTTGGCTGACATGTTCCTGCAGAAACCAATGTCTGCAGACACTGCCAGAGGCCCTTGGGGCAGAACCCCTAATTATAGCCTCATGAGCAATCACAGAGGGGCTCTGGTGGCACAGTGGTTAAAACAGTGGGTTGCAATCCAAAAGGCCAGCGGTTCAAACCCACCAGCCACTCTGCGGGAGAAAGATGGGGCAGTCCGCTTCCATGAAGATGACAGCCTTGGAACCCTTGTGTGGCAGTTCCACTCTGTCCGCTAGGGGCGCTGTGGGTCGGAATCATCGTCCTGGCAGTGGGTGTGGTTTGGGCTTTGCTTCCTTAGAGATTGACAGCCTTGGAAACCCTGGGTGCAGTTCCACTCTGTCCGCTAGGGGCGCTGTGGGTCGGAATCATCGTCCTGGCAGTGGGTGTGGTTTGGTTTGGAGCAATCAGGGTGTCAGTTTGTGGTTCTTCCTACTCTCTCCCCTTATGTTTCCACTAGAAGCTGTGACCAACTAGAACCTTGGGAAGGAGCCCTGCTGGTCCAGTGGTTTAGTGCCCGGCTGCTAACTGAAAGGCTGGTGGCTCCAGCCCACCAGCAGCTCCACGGGAGGAAGGCCTGGCCATCTGTCCCAGTAGACTGCAGCCGAGGAAACCATAGGGGCAGTTCGGCTCTGTCACATCACACAGGCTTGCTAAGAGTCAGGTTGTCTGGGTGACCCCCAACAACCATCTTGGAGAAGCAGTGCTCAGATGGAACCAGCTCCGTGGAGGAGCCATGGGTCTGAGCCCTGCCAGGGGCAGACTGTAGGCACTGCTGCCAGCCCAGATCATGCCATAGTGTGGCTGGAGGTGGCTCGCAGCTGCTCCCTCTGCATGGCGTCTAATGGAGACGCCTGCTAGGTCACAGCTCCCTCCTTGGGGGTGGACTGAAGCCAGGGACTGACAG